TATATCCTAAATTATCGATAAATGCCATTTTTATCTTATCGATATATATCGATGTTTTGCTATATATCGATATGTATATATAAAAAATTTTCTGATAGTGGCACCTAGTCCTGTGCCTGAAGTATTAGTATGTAGGTGGAAGGGCCTTGAGAAGTTGGGGTAATTGAGAACTGAGACAGTAATTAATTTTTGTTTTAATGTTTTAAAAGACTCTTGCTGGCCCTTATTCCACTTATACACTCTATCTTTCTTTAATAGGTCATGTAAAGGCCAGGCTAGCTTAGAGAAGTTCTTTATGAACCTATGATAATAAGAAGCTAGGCCTAAGAATCCTCTTAGTTGCTGTAAGTTGGTAGATATAGAGTAATCCTTAATCTTTAAAACCTTATCTTCATCAAGTAATATACCTTCCTAGTTTACTGTATTTTCCCCAAAATAAGCTACTATTTTTGGGCCAAAAATTACACAAAAATTTCTGAAGTAGCTTATTTTGGGAACAAATCGATTTTTGGTTATTTTTTATTAAGTAAAAGTAGTTAATATATATAAAAGTCAAAATGGTACTAAGTAAATATATATTATGAACTTAATAAAAGTTGTTCAGAATTAAAAAATACACATATTCTGAAAGTTTCATACAATTTGGGTAACTTTTTATTAGTAACATTTTGCATATAGAGGTGTGGCGACTTAGTGTAGTAGTCTAGTCGTTATTCTCTCCAAGTGGCAGGTCTAGAGTTCAAATCCCACGGATGACGAATTTTGAAAAATAGTCTGTGTTATGATTTACGGTTGTTGATTATTGGTTGGATCTAGAAATCTGTAATCTTAGTTATACCATCTAGTTATGGGAGCTTTGGCGCAATAAATCCGAGGAACTGGAATAACCGAAAACCCATTTGGCAAGTCCCAAGTTTGGAGGTAGTAGTGATATATGATGGTACCACAGGAGGGCTGAATTCGAACCGGGGCCCAAGATCAGAGAACCGAGTGACCAGGTCCTAATGACA